CCCCCCCCCCCCCCCCCCCCCCCCTCGTCCTCCATCACGGCTACCATGTGGGAGGATTGTTCCTTACTGCTCGTGGCGCAGTTTATAAAAACCATTTCACAGTTGGGAGCTTAGTACCCTAGCCTTTTAGGAGACTACAAGGCTCAGGTTTGGAGACCTCGTTTTGATATATACATCCTTGGTAAAATAAAGGTAAAATAATTATGGTGCGTTTGGTTGATCGCGTTCCGGAATAAGGATACGCTGAAATTTGTGACACATCTCTTGGATAGCGAAGTCTTTGACCATTTGAGTCCTGAGTGTCTCCTTTTATACAACCTTCTTTATCAAACAAACTGATGACGATGAAAGTGGGCGTGGTTGTGGTGATGGTTATGGTGTTGACGACGACGATGATGATGGTGATGATGATGATAGTGGTGGTGGTGGTGATGATGATGATGATGTTAGCGGTGGTGATGATGATGATGATGATGATAGTGGTGGTAGTGGTGGTTGTGATGATGATGATGATGGTGGTGGTGGTGGTCATGATGATGATTGTGGCGGCGGTGGTGGTGGTGGTGGTGAAAATGATGATGATGATGATTGTGGTAGTGGTGGTGGTTGTGATGGTGATGATGATGATAGTGGCGGTGGTGGTGATAATGATGATGATGATTGTGGTCGTAGTGGTGGTGGTGATGATGATGATGATGATGGTGATGATGACGACGACGATAAGAAACTGATGCGAAGTAAACTCACCTCGCTGAGGTATTCAATTACAGAGCATAGGCTATTCGGCTGAACCTGATGTTTCTCTCCATGGCACTTGGGATTCCACGATTCATTAAAAGACTTAAAAACAAAACAAACAACAAAAATAATTAAACAAACAAATATTTGCACTTATGCTGTCACTTCAGCCGAAATAAATAAATTTCGCATTGTCTTCGTCTGAATTAAATTATGTGATGAACAAATCTCTTTTTTTGGTTGTTATTTGTCGATATTAACCTGCGATTGTCTAATACTGGTAAAGTCACCAAATATTTATGGCTCAGTTCTGTAGCATGTTCTTCATTGAGAAAATCTACGCAACGTTCCTGAAAAAAAGAGTTTATGAAAAAAAAAATGGAATTAATTTATTCAGACGTCACTCTTGACCGAAGTCTAATTGAAGAAAATTGCGTTGTCATTTTAAGGCAAGCACATATATTGCGCCCCGGTAAAGACCTTATTGCTTATTCATATATTACACCACTAAAAAAAAACTTTGAAAGTGCCAGACTTTTTGTCTTTTATCGTTTTTTCACCGGCGAGACTTGAGATTACAAAGAAGGAAATGCCGCTCCAAATATCTTGGTCTCTAAAAAATTTTATTCGCATTTATAATTTTTATCTTTACTATCGAAACCGGTTGTTCTTATTCCGTAATGGTGTGTTGTTTTCCTGCCGGTAATTAAAGTAGCTTGTTTTGACGAGTTCAACATGACACCTGCTTTTTCATTTTTCGAAAGCGAAGGTTAGCGAAAATTGATGTTTTCAGTACTTAACGACACAGCTGACGATAACAGCCTTTACCAACGGATCCAGTTTATCTAAAAAATAATGGTGTTTTCTTTTCCTGCACTCATGAAAATACAGTAGCCTGTTTTTAGTCTATCTAAAGCGAACATTATAGAACTGCACCTGGTTTATAATTCAAATTTGGAATACCTACTGATTGGACAAAGCTGAAAATAAATTGATTAGAATTCTAATTTATTATTACTCATAGACGGTGACCTCACACGAGCTGTCAATCTATTTAAACACAACTAGCACTTTAGCTCAAACCACCTGCAGAACGAAAACTTTAAGTTGCCTTCAATAACTGAAGGTAATCTTTGAGAGCCACTAACAATTTTTGATTCTTAAGTCCGGGAATGATGTGATGAGGCATGCGGTATACTTGAACTCCTACTGCTAACTGTGAGGACTATCAAGCCAATATAGGTTATACATATGTCACAAGTTGAGAAAGCTAAGAAAGTACACAGCAGGACACAGGACTCAATACAGTACTTAGGCACATAGCAAGAGCAGGACTCAGTGTACTCGATCTAGAGTTGGGATACAAAATTCATGGACTTCAAACTATTAATGTGACACCACGTCAACATCTCTGAGCGAAATGGACGCCCTTTTGGTGATAAATATTGTTCTTAATGTTCCACTGATGTTCGTAGCAGTCATCGGCAACACGTTAGTGCTGTCCGCTATATTTAGGACACCCTCAATTCATTCATCGTCTTCAATCTTCTTGTCCAGTCTCGCTGTTTCGGATCTTCTTGTCGGGCTGGCTGTACAACCAGTTTACATTGCCCACGAGCTAAAGCCTGATCCTGGCTTGCGCAAGACAGCCAATATACTTTTCAACATGGGTTGTGTTGTTTCGCTCTGCACAATGACAGCTATAAGCATAGACCGATTTATGGCCCTGCATTACCATATGCGGTATCCAAATTTAATGACCAACAAATGTGCAATACGATCTACAGTAACTCTATGGCTGTTTGTCATCGCTTCATCGTTTTTAATGCTGTGGCGTACACTTCATATAGTTCTCGCTGTTGGCATCTTTGCATGCCTTTTAATTTCCGCTTTCTTTTACACCAGGATTTATTTCATAGTTCGCCATCATCAGTCAGCGATTCACCTTCAGCAACAAGCTGTACAAAGTATGAACACCGCGCAAAGTATAAACATAGCGCGATCGAAGAAAAGTGCAATGAACAGTTTCGTATATTTCATCTGTCTGGTTCTCTGTTATTCGCCAATGTTCACTTCAATGATAATTTACACGATTGACCCAACACTCAGTTCAAACTTGTGGACTGTTGCAAATACTGTAGTGTTCTTGAACTCGTCTATAAACCCATTTTTGTATTGCTGGCGTTTAAAGGAGCTTCGAAAGGCAGTTTTAAAAACAGGGCAGAAGTTGTTGTGTAAGCAAACAGAGGAGAGACGAGAAAATGAGCTTAAGGCATATTAGATGCTTCATTTGTTAAAGTTTTTTGTCAATGCCTACAGTCTAAAATCTACAGCTATTTTCGCCTCATTTGCGAGTTTTACACTAGCGTGCACAAGCCACACGTTTTTATGGTGGGCTGTGACCAACAGTCAAGACAAAACATATCTCAAAAACTTTGCAAATACTCGATAATTCTTATACCATAATTGATTCCTACACACTTTTGATTTCAATCATACACAAAAGATTTCTATAGACGAAGCTCATATACATAATTATCCTCTTTGGAAACCACCTTTAGCTCGCACTGTAGTCTGCGTTTCTACCCGCAGTCGTGTAAGCGTATGGCCCACCATGCCTACTGTAAACTCTAACACGAAAAGAAACTCAACAATTTTACAGAAAACTAATGTAAATTGTTAATTCACTCCGCCATAGTGGCCATTTGGAACGTGACCCATATGACATCATTTGTGGCGCCATGTGACGTCATACTGTTACGTGAACAATTGTAGAATATTAGAGGGGGTCAACCGTATATTGGTGTCACTGTTGGCACTTTAACGACAACACAAAAATCCAAGATGGCGGTCATTTAAATCATGACGTAACTCGTACCTCGTGTAACGTCACTGGTCAACAGTAGTTTAAGTATTTTTCAGCAAAGCAAAAACCTCTGTAAATTTCATTATCAGAATGTTATGGAGACTACAGAATCCTCCAGTCCCACCCCAGAAGTAGGTTTGTGTTTGTGTGTGATCTGAGACCGACTATCCAATAGAAAGAAACGGTCGACCTTTCCCATGACGCGGAACTACTGACGAACATTTTTGAAAATGCCGGAAGGCAAGTGTCTGTCGAACCAAACCGACCGGACAGATGAGAAGTCTTAATTGGTACATACCGCTCCATCCTTGTATCGACCGAAATCTCTGAAGCTTTGGGTATATAATGGCCAGCATCAGAGGCTATATGTCTGTATGTGGTTAATCCGGCGGACTAAAGTTTGTATACAGTTGTATTAAATAGCGTGATTT